GATGATGATGATGATGATGATGATGATGATGATGATGATGATGATGATGATGATGATCACTACTACCGCACCAAGGGTTCCACATCTCAAAAGTGAATGCCGGGGCAAACCGAGCGAATCCTACCTCTCGCAATGATCTGATGTTTGTCCAGGGCTCCCAGTGGGTAGAAACTTAAGGTGTCTCCGCTCTTCGTGAGGTGCTCTGCGTTGTAGATCAAAGACACCAAGCCGCGAAGCTCATGAAATCCATTCAAGTCCTCCGTTCGAAGCATGCGCTGCTCCTTCTCAATCTGCTCCATCTTCTGGAGCATCTCAGGAAAAATCGTGTCACCTTCAAGCTCTTGAAACACCTCAAAAAACTGGCGGATCCATTCGCAAGAGGCGTCCAAATCGAGCTTGTTCTGCCTCAATATCCGCGTGAAGGCTAAGTCTCCAAACAAGGGAGCGTACAGTTGTCCTCGCCCCTCCCGCTCAGCCAACTCACACTTGAAGCGTTCTTGCAAACGAGAGATGAGTTCCAGCTCAGACTCACTGGGCAAAGCATCAGAAGTCACCGAGGCGGTCATGGCTGTGGCTCCATGAAAGGAAAGTGTGGGTCGTAGCTTCTGGGTGGAGAATTGGTCTGTGAGTCGGTTTTTCAGCTTGCTTTCTGTGAGGCTTGCCTTCACACGATTTGTGCCTACAAATCTGGAGAAGTGCCTTAAATAATTCATCATGTAGGTTCCAAATGGCTCCAAGATTCTTAGAGCGTTTCTTACCACACCCAAGTGTACAAGTTCGTCGACTGCAGTTCTACATTCAAAACCCGTGCATGCCTTAGAGACAGTTAAATGAACCAAGTCTTGACGAAGCAAGCTGAACCGATCGTAACTTTAGGCTTAGGCTTCTTGTGTGTAAAGAGACCACCTTGCACAGCATGTGGTCTCAAGGTTTTGCCGTCCAAAGTAGTCAAGAAATCAACTGCAATGGATAATCGGCACGTGTTTCTGCTATCTCTCACAATGAAAGAAGCGGAATAAGTCAATGCGATTTGACAGTGCTTGCGGTCGAACACTGTCCTACCAAAATCTCTTCGCCTGGATTCCTTGCCTCGAGACGAATATCCAGGCTGAAAATGCTATTTACACAGCAAGAGCAGGAACGGCTCTGAACGCCTACAGCTAAAAGCTGCTCTTGATCATTGCCTCTACAGCTCAAAATCAAGCAAGAAAGCGGCCTCGGCATGGGTTGATCCATGGAGCAGTCGAACTGCTTTAATTTGTTCCTATGCTCTGTGGTCCTGACCGGCACATGTTGCAAACACTTAGCTGAGAACTGTCATCAAGCTTGCTGCCATGTTTCACTCCAACCGATCATCTCCGATATGCACTTAAACTACCTTACGAGCGTGTACATGTGTATATATATATATACACATATTTTTTAAGAGAGAGAGAGAGAGGAAAAGAATCGACTAGTACCAAACAACTAAAGCAAATCAAAGAGGTCGTCATTCCACAATATATGCAAATATATATATATATGTACAATATGTCCATACTGATCAAAATCTAAAAATATGTACCCATATACATGTGTCTGCAACTGTATATGGACACCTCATAGACTGCAGCCAAAAGACCAGCGATGCGCTGAAGCCCCAGCTGGATGCAGACCCTGCAGCAGTTGCACCCGGGGCAGTAGTTGAGGCCTCTGGGCATTCGATGTCATCGCCAATCTCTCTGCTCGCTTTGCAAGAGTCCTGAGCTAAACCACTGAGCCTCGCAAAAACATCCTTTTTCTCCTTTATCTTGGATCGCATGCACAAAATGTTCTGGTCGCCAAGCTAACCAAGCGGCTCCGCCACCGCATGTGCTCCACCACTCAGGGTCCATGGTCTTGTTGATGGGTGTGCTTTCGGGGCACATCACTGTCATGACGAATGGCATGTCACCGTTGCTGCAGGTCACATTAGCCGAGGTGCCTGGAGGTGAGTCCAAAAAGGCAACACATTTAACATGCAAAATGTGCAAATAACATCAAACAACCATTTTCTCAGACCCTATGAGGCCCATGTCTCTACACCCTCAGGCGTTCTGAGGCGACAGGCCTGCTGCAATGCTAGCGGAGCCATCGGCAAAAGTCCAATTGCCGCCACTCTTCGGGATGCACATGGGCATGCTGGCAGACCAGCCCCAAGAAGCCTGCAAAAGTGCATTCGGGACCATATAGGCGCAACCCTCACAGATGCATGGTTATGGCCTGGAGGCTTGAATGCCTTCCTCCTATCAAACCAGCAGAACCCAAAAAGGCGTTGGCCGCTTGGAGGGTGCCACGTGCAAAGTCCACGTTCAATCGTGTTCTTTGGATCAGGACCCCTCCACACAGCTTCCATGCGCCTGCATGGGCTTCAGGAAAAGCGGAACCAAATGCGCCACCGTCAGGCTTGCCTGCAACTGGGTTGGTTCGGGTGGCATTCACAGCTGCCGTCCTACAGTAGGACCTGAGAAACTGTGACGTGCCTTTCATCTTGGATAAATGAACAGCATGATCTTTTAATCACAAGACTTACTTCGACCATTTTGAGCCAAGCAGCAGCCAGGAAGGCAGGCTTTCTAAGCATTGCTGGGGCTTGGCAAAGGTGTGGCTTTCGAAGGTCGGCGTTCTTGGCACAAGCTCAAGATACAAATGCTGCGGACATGCAAATGTGTGGTGATTGTGGCGCAGGAGGGCCGTTCTGTGACTCCAAACCCTCATAGACAGCCACTCACGTAATCCAAGCCCTTCCTCTGTCCAGGGAGAGGCAAACAGGAGAAAACAGCTTGAACCTTTGAAACAGAACAAGAAGCTACTAGGGGCTCCTGGCATCGCTACTAGGAGCAAGGACGCTACTAGTAGCTCCTGGCCTTACTACTAGGAACAAGAAGCTACTAGGGGCCTCAGTTCATCACCGAACTCGGGACCTCCGGTCTTAACCGGACAGAACTCTCATGAACTCTCCGTGGTTCACCAACCGCCAACACCGGTTGGCGGTCACCACGGGACAGGACCTCCCACGGTTTCTCTGGACCTGCCTCGGTCTGTTGATCCCACAAACAGTTCTTTACATGACACAAAAAAATACCTGTTAATGGAGGACAATATAATTCCCAGTCCATTGTCTGGTACAGTTCTTTACAGTTCCCAATTATTCACGATGGCCTCCAACATAATAGCGATGGCCTCCTCTCTCTTTTTGGTCTTGCTACTGGCATCCGGTCGATCTCCTTGAGAAATCGATCAAGATTCACATGGTTGTGCTGGGTCCTCTTCCTGCCGCAGGTTGTGGCATTCGTATGCTCTCTTATGCTCTCTTGGGTTGGTTTGTTCATAAACCCCGGTTTCCAGAGTTTGAGTGTGAGTACAGGTTGCAACCTGCAACTCCCCTGCATGGTTTTGCTAAAGACACTGCAGTGTACTGTCATTTTGCGATTATGAGTTATGAGATTGGACCCAGCGCACCTGGAAAAAGGACATCACTGGTGCGGGGGCGCTGCACACAGAAACCCCTAGTTTCAAAGCAAGGGAGCCCTGCAAAATCTGCGAGGGTCTAAGCAGCAACGAACTGAGTTCCTAACTTTTGCGTAATCATGTATTGATGCGGAGATGTTCTCACACCTTCCTTAGAGGCTTGCACCATGTTGTCAGTCGAAAATGGCCAGGTCCATGCCAGGCTGAAAATCTCAACTACGTCGGCGCGGCACACCGAAGTCAGCCACGAAATACCTCGACTCGACAGGCAAGCAGGGGTCTCGCGTCTAAGACTTACAAGGGAGCCTCTCATCTTCTTTACATCGTGACCTGGGATGGGTGTGTGTGTTTGTGTGCGCAAGAAGTTCCGCATAGATGGAATAGGCCATATATTCGATACACTTGTACGGTCTTGCTACCAAGTGGCCAGCAGCTACTGCTTGGCATCCTTCTTCGGCTTTGAGCGGAGCCAGCGGCTGACCTTGGACAAAAGACTTACAGTGTTACTCAGGCTTTGTGCTCAACAGAAGTGAACCCTGTAACCCTGTTCTTGCCAAGACAGGAAGTCGTAGATATCAGATGTCATCGAGATGATGAAAGCGAGGATCCTCGAATCCTCAAACTCTCGGCACCGCCACCTATCGCACCCTTTTGGGAAGAAATACGCCACCGGTGAATGCATCCAAGCCACCGATCGGGCTTTGTATTTGTTCTCCACCTCAGCCAAGGTATTGGAACCCTCCGACAAAAAAATCACCCAGGGTGACTTCTGTGGAAGGATGCATCGAATCATGATCTTACCTGCCGCCCTTGGCCTATCGGGCCCCAGGGTGAAAGTCTGCAAGGCTTTAATATCATGTGCTTGCAGGAACGAGAGAATTCTCACCGCTCTCATCATCCACTTCCGCTTATCAAGCAGCTGGCCTTCTGGTACATCTTGAAACCTTGCACCTGAAGGCAGCTGAGTGACACCCTGAGACATGTCCTCCACTACGAGCTTGCGTGAGCACATCATGCCATGCTCTCTTCAGCATGCACGTGAAAGCATGGATCGACATTGGAATCAACATGCTTAGAAAAATGACTCACCAGCGCCACAGCCTTCCGCATGCGCGCCACCAGCCTGGTACTCTTTGAGTGGCTCGGTGCCCTTGTAGGCTGCCAGACCTCGGGATGCCCCACCCACAAAGAAACGTGATAAGCGTGCGGAGGAGCATGTCAGCGTCAGGTGTCTGGGTGAATCCGCATGTGGCGGCCGCGAAGGAATGTCAAATTGGATGAAAGAGATCCTCCACTATCGTAGATACTGGGAAGCTGGTCCCCCGCAGGAATCTGTTACTCAAAGATCCCAGGACTCAAATTGTTAAAGGCCAGTGGCCCACGGTCTGCTTCAATGCATCCATCTTTTGCAACAAAGCCTTCCACTCATCGTCGATGGTCCTCAGTGCCCAAGATCAAACCCCCAGGCCACCCAGGCCACCCCTCAGCTACCATCTGACTGTTGCTTCCAACCAATCTGCGGTGTCACTTCTGCAAACAGCTGTGACATCAGTTTTGAAGGAAGGTTCATCACTTCCAAAACGGTTTGGTTGCAAAAAATTGACCTCCACAACAAATATATTCTACACCGAACGGGCAGGGACCGCAAAGAGACTCCATACTCAAGAGAGCCCGAGCTTCAAAGGGGCACCTAATCATATATCCATTTTGCCTGAACCATTAATAGATAAAATCTGTATTGTATTGAAACTATAAACAGATGTATAATTGAACTATAACTATAACTATTGACTATTAACTATAGCCTGAACTATTATCAAGTGTTCAGCGCTTGGGGCTTCCCTCAACGGGATTTTGAAGACTTCCCTCAACGCCGCAAATTGCAGCCGAAAATCACCACGGTGGCGATGCGTGCGGCTTCAACCGCAAAGCCAGGTCGGAACTCCTGCAAACAGTTTGCCACAGGATGCTGAAATCCAAGGCCATGATGGATTTTGTGGCGGGTGCTGCCATGCTACTCTACAGGTATATAGGTACATATGTATATATATATATATGGTTAAAGCCTCCGGACTCTGAATGTTATCAAGGGAGTCTGGCCGACTTTTGCCTTCTGCCACTGCACTCCTCATAGGAGGCTGCCTTCTTCTTGATGCTCTCCCGCACGGCCTTCGAGAGAACCGCTCTGGCAGCCTCTTTGGCCTTCTTGGTGTCCTCGTCAAAAAAAAGGCTTCCAGAACTAACTAGTGATTTTTCAGTTGGAAAGGGTCCACCCCATGTTTTGTGACTCGTCCTGGCTAGGTTTTGTCGCCTGATGGCCCTGCCGCCCCCCCCAATGCCAAAAGACCACTTCGCCTCTCACAATCCAAGAGTCGGCCTTCATGTCTGCACCGAGCTCGGGCATGTCGAAGCCTTGGGTGTTGACTGGTTTCATGATGCGTTTCATGGCACACAGGGACTCGACGGAGTGACAGCATACTACCCCCAGAACACATCAGCATAGTCCTGCCAAGTTTCAAGGCGGACATCGGATAGGGTGCTGTGCTAAAATGGGTTCACGTCCTACCAATCATCACCAGTCGCGTGAGCCTGTGCCCCAAGTGCTCAACAACCCTATGCCCAAGAAAAAAACAACGAAAACAAAGCCGGCCTTTCCAATTCGGAAGATTTTATCATCAGAATCAAGGGTCCACTTTCATGGAGTTGTTCTGCAGGCGATCTACTGGAAAGCCTCTACTCGGTGGGGGAAATGAACAGACTGAATAGACTTTCTTGTAGATCTTCCTGTAGCAGCTCTATCACACTTGCGAGGCGGCCCTCGCTTTCAGCCACACCCCATACAGACTCTTCGTAAACACCCGGCCAACAAATGATAGGCCGTGCGGCCGAAGTATTCCTCAAACTCCTTTGCTTTCTCTTCGTCACTCTTGTCCTTCACCTGTCAGTTTCTGATCATGGCCACGCTGCTGCCGTCAGGAATGTTTTGATAGGCACTCATGATAGCTCTGCGTTGACGTTTTGAAGAACTATGACAGTACCAATGCAATTGTCACAGCGCTATGACAGTACCAATGCAATTGTCATCCACTTGCGCAGCTGCTTTTCTATTCGTGATCTATCTGTGGGCATTCTTTGTGACCGGCATCCTCACAAACATTCACAAACCACACTGGGCAAAGGCTAGCACTGCAAACCCGAAGCACTGCTGTAACACCGGATCCGACTCCAAATGTTGATCCAAACACATTTGATTTAACCATGCAAACCCTGATCATTTGCAGCTGGGAGCAGCGTGCTGGCTTTCGCAGAAGCTTTTTCCACATGCGAACTGTTGGCACCAGCGTCCGGGCCAGCCTGGTCGATGTGGAAGTCTACCGCATCCTCACCCCACTCCTGGCAGAGCCAAAAACCTCTTCAAAAGCACGCTACAGGAGCCGCAATTAAAAAACAGAAAGTGCTGTCATCCTGTGATCTTTGATCACACCATATCATGTCCATTCCTGGATTCTGATACCAAGAGTTGACAGGCAGTGTCACCTCTGAGAATGAACCAAGGCCGCTTCAGATTCGACAAAGAACCATCCAAAGCCACCCACCCACAGGAGAAAAGACTACAGCAACTCTTGCAAATCAAATGTTGTCAGTCATGCCAGTTCATTCTACCCGAGCAAGAGACTTCCACCGACACCGCTCCTCGACAAGCTTCATGACGGCCTTGTCTTCATTCGCCAAGAACTCCTGAGCACGGACGTTCGGGATCTCGGAAAACAGAATCACACGCTGCATATACCAAATGACCAAATCATGTATATAGAAACTATTAGTTCCAGCTACTTACTCGTTGGTGCCGTTGGACAATGTATCCAAAACCCACTCTATCAAGTTACGCAAACATCAAGTGCTCAGGTGGGCTCGACTGTCTGTGACGAGTTTTGAACGGGCACTTTCCCAGCGCACCTTCCGAGTTTTGTAGGTGAGCTCTCTCTGCTTAGAGATCACCTGACATCTAAATGCAGCAGGAGTGTAGAACACAATGTTCTGCATGCAGCCTCTATCTGCCCAAGATCCAAATAGGCTGATTGAGTTGCAGTCCTCTTTGGAGCAACCCAAAAACTTGGCTGGATTCAGCGCCTGGCCTTGTCAAACTCAAACAAGGTCGTGCGGGTCTTCTTGAAAAACTCTTCCACTGCTTTCTGCACACGGTCCAGCGTATCGTTTACCTTGGCCGATGTTGTCCGATGTTGTCCAGGAATGGTTCATCAAGGTCAACATATACAGATGTGTTCTCAACACCACAGGGGTGAAACGAGCTAAACCACGCCACACTGTTGAGTAGCAAACTTAAGAACCAAACCATACGAAATTGAACCATACGAAATTGAACCTATTTGTTTGGGGCTCTGGCCCTTATTCTTGAGACACACCTTCAAAAGCAGCACTCATTTGTCAACTGCACGTTGGTCCAATAGGCCCAACCAGTCCCTGCCGCCGTCAGACAACAGCTAATTGCCTTTCCCCAGAAGGTAACAAAAGGGCGGAGTGCCCATCATTGCAGCTGTCACTCCCTGGTCACGACCCTCCAAATTCGCCCAGAGTCAATGGGGCTCTGGAGCGGGATCGCGTCGCCGAGCCGGAAGCGGTCCTGGCGAGATGCGAGGCCTGCAAGTGACATCAAATAGGGAACCCATGGCAGCGCGGCTGAGAAAGCATCACTCCAAGAGGAATGTGCTGTGCATTCCTATGTCTGGCCATTTTGCAAGAGAGCATGAGATGGAGTAAGTTCTAGGTCGCCGTTGAAGCAGTTTCTGACGGTCCATCAAGGTTTCGATCTTGTCGCCACCAAAGACTCTGAAGACATCGTCCTCACAGTTCCAATCGAGGGGACTGTCAAAGCCAATGCACCAGAAATCCAATCAACTGCCAACCACCAAGCAAAGCCAGCATCTCTCAAGTGCAAATGTTGAAGTGTTGCACTTGCTACATCATCCCGCGACCTGATTTCCCAAGAACCCGGACGGTCCTGCAAGGAGATGAAGAAACGGGTGGTTCCCGGATCCCCCTGCAAAGCACGGGCATGGAGTCTTATTGCACACCGATCCCGAGAAAATGTACACATAGCAGTGCACATGGCTACACTTCACGGCTCTCTTCCTGCAGAAAGTGACACATGTGATCATTGCACATGTGATCGGGAATTCGCCACACAGCTGGGCGCGACTCGTTGGATCTCATGACCTCCGTCACCCCTCGCTCGCCGTCGGTGCCAGTCCTCGCCTGTCGACCTGCTCGACCGCGCAGCTGGTTGTCAATGCGACGAGACTCGTGGCGTGTGGTGCCCAGGACATAGAGGCCGCCCGCCTGAGGAGCGCGGCAGGGCATGTTGAACACTTAGAAGCCACTTCTGAGGTGGATTGTGGGGAGATCAACGGCAAGAGGGCGGATCTTTTTGACCAGGTTCACATAGATACTTGTACATGTTTGTGTGATATATTTATCTATCCATGTATATTATATGTACACAGTATATTGTCTGTTCATTCTAATTCTTGGGGGTAATTGTGCCCACTTCCAAGCTAAAAGCCTGAGCACCAATGAGCTTGATAAAGCATCCTCCCAGGTTGGTGTGGTTTGTGGTGTGACCTTGTGAGTCACAGCTGCTCAGCCTTGATGACCTGGTCCTTCTCATCTGTCAGTGCGTCCTCAGAAGGGTTCCGCAGCGGGCAGACTGGAACATCAAGCGGCCATGCCCAAAGGTGCAGTACGGTGTTCAAACACAACGGAGATGAAAACATATATATATATAGTTAATATATATATATATAATTAAGCGTTTTGGTAGTGGCAATGGGAAACCGCATCCGCATCAGGTCCTTGTAGAGCGTCTTTAGCTCTGCGAAGGCCTCTGGCGGTGCGATGTTCAAGCGTGCCCATGTGTCTCGAACAGAGATCTCTACGTCCACTCCTTTGTCGAATACTCCCGAAAACTTCGTCACTCCTCTCCATCCAACCGTCCAAAGGTGTCGCGCCTTCCGCAGGGCCGTCAACGCCTGAGCGCTCTCGTTGGCCTCAAAGGGCGCCTCACCACCCACTGAGGCCACCAACTCCTGTCGGACAGGGCTCTAGGTGGTGGATCCTGGAGGCTTTAAGAAGAGGTGGCTGCAATGATTGATCGCATGTCTCCCCCACCACCAATAGCCCTGTCACCAATCGCCCTGCGCCTCCACTTCCAGAAAGCTCTGTGTGGCCTCGCCCGCCGGGCACTTGGCCACCGCCTCGACTGCCTCCGTGAGGCTCTTCTCTAGGCTACCTGCGGCGGGTTGGCTGACGAGGCAACAACCATGACCACGTTCTCATGATACATAGATATATCTATATAAATATATACATACACAGTAATTAGAGCTGAATAAATAATGCTATGCATGCTATGGATGCTGAGTGTGTGTGTGTGTGTAACCCGCTCTTACATGCGGTTGGAGGCCCGGGCTGATTTTGAACTTTGAACTTGGCCTTAGTCAACTGTTACAAGTGGAGGAAGACTTCGAGCTTGCTGTGTATCGATCATAGTGAGCAGGGGAGTGCGGCGTGATTGTGGGACCGCACTCAACGAAGCTAACACAATCACGGTATACCGAGTCTGATCAACTCGGCGTACCTGCAAGTTTTAACCTTTGGTAAAGGGCGAATGTATCGCTCGATGGTGTCGTGGAGTTCGCTTAGTGTTTGATTTTTCAGGACCATATACTTAGGAGGTTCGGGACACGCCGTAAAGGGCTAATGCATTGCTCGATGGTGTCGCCGCCTTTGTTCGGTCCTTCGGGTGCTCAAGGACGCACGCTTAGGAAGTTCTGGGCTTTGTCATCATCCTAACGCTCCAACTTAAAGACCCATTCCCCAGTGTGTAGAGGGTGCATGCCAGAATTGGCGACACCGTCGAGACCCCGCATGGGACTCTATAGTTGGCACGGGCCTTCCCGAGAGAAGACATTGGTCCTCATTTGGAGGTACCAGAATCCTGCACGCCAAAAGTCGCGCTGATTAGTGGCTCGCAGGCAGAAAACACAGTCTCTGGACACACTGTATGTAGCTGGAATCAAGCGCAGTTGCAAAGCGGCAGAAGTTGCTATCGAGCGCAGTTGCAAAGCGGCAGAAGTCGATTTGATTGAATACTTCAGTGCTTTGCACTCGTTGCTCGGATCTCAAGTGCAGCCTTGCACTTGCGCTTTTGGCCTCACGCCCGTTTAAGACTAAGACCAGCAGTATCTTTTGGGTTTCTCTGTAGACTTGCATTTGAGCTCCGGCCGAACCAAGGCACACATGTCTGAGGCTTTCAAAATAAGGACGCTAACGAGACCCACCGGCTTGGACCGTATTCGGCGTCGGCCTGTTAGAATTTCGGGACACTGTTGTGCTTAGGCCCACTCATGAAGTCTGAGCCTTTGACGGGGAGGGCCATGTGTGTGTGTAACCCGCTCTTACATGCGGTTGGAGACCTGAGCTGATTTTGAACTTTGAACTTGACCTTAGTCAACTGTTACAAGTGGAGGAAGACTTCGAACTTGCTGTGCCGATCGTAGAGAGCAGGGGAGTGCGGCGTGATTGTGGGACCGCACTCAACGAAGCTACCACAATCACGGGATACCGAGTCTGATCAACTCGGCGTACCTGCAAGTTTTAACCTTTGGTAAAGGGCGAATGTATCTCTCGATGGTGTTGTGGAGTTCGCTTAGTGTTTGATTTTTCAGGGCCATATACTTAGGAGGTTCGGGACACGCCGTAAAGGGCTAATGCATTGCTCGATGGTGTCGCCGCCTTTGCTCGGTCCTTCGGGTGCTCAAGGACGCACGCTTAGGAAGTTCTGGGCTTTGTCATCATCCTAACGCTCCAACTTAAAGACCCATTCCCCAGTGTGTGCGCGACGAACGAGCCCAAAAATGGGAGTTCGACAGGCTTGAACTGAAGTCTTGGACTGTTGGAAATACAAGCATGAATCAACACGCGGACTCTCCGAAGATGTCAACTTTTGAGCTGGATCCTGCTTCTTGCGTGTTCGTCGTATGCTTGAGCGCTTCCATCACATGACAGTGGCACAAAAGGTGGACCAGCACCGCAACGCCCGTGCGCGAACCTGGAATATCTGTTGGATAAAACTCCTCCCCAGGGTTGTAGACCTGCCAAACGCTCGAAATACCGCACTCTAGGTGTCCATCACTCTTCATGTCCCTCGCTTGAAGTGGCCTATTGTGCTGCGAAAATACTGTAGCACACTGAAGGTACAAATAGGCGAAAGTGACCGACGACCAAGGGGAGCACATAAGACTCCCAACCAAGGCCTTGGCCGATTCCTCCATGGACAGGAGGGCATCTGCCAGTCGGGATCTGATGTTCAGAGCCGCCATCTGAGAATGGTTGCCACCCAAGATGATGTCCTCAGAGCGGCATTGGGTTCCCGATCCATGGCTCCGAACACAAGACCTTCAACACAGCAGCTGTGAGAAAGCCCAGATGACCCAGCCATATCACAGGTCTCTGCAGAGAACATGGGGATTCAAAAATTCAGCAACGCGACTCCTCACGGCTTGAGGCGAGACACGGTTCCACGCCCTGCCATGTTGGTAGAGACCGTCACCATGCCCAGTCGGCCTGCAAGTTGTGTGGTGTTCGACGATCGGTCTCAGAAACAAAAACCAGCTGGGGCATGCATATATATATATATACACACAGCCATACTATACAGTATTTGATCAAAGAAATCTTGAATAGCGCTCAAGATTCAAAACTCCCAGTTCTTGAGCCTCCCAAGTCTTTGAACATCGGGACCATATCTTCTAAGTCCCCCACCTGCTTGGGAGATGGTCTCGTTCTCTCGAGCGATGGACTCCGGCCGGGCATTCAGGAGCTGCGGCTCCACACCCGCCTCCCTCAGCCGGCTCACAATGGCCTCAGACATCTTCACGTTGGCAGTGCCGATCAAAATCGGTCGGCCGTTGCGCTCGTTGTTCAGCACAATCTCCTGGGCAGGGCTGAGGAGAAAGAGTATCACAAATGAATGAAAATGGCAGCAGCTAAGCTAAGGCCCCCTTTTTCTTAAGACACCTGATTTGATTGATTACCCTCTCCCATCCCATGCTTTCAACTCCACCACCCAACCCCCGCACCTCCACGATGGCGTTCAGCTTGGCCTCCTCGGTCTTGTAGACCACATCCGGGTAGTCGCGTCGCACGTTGGGCCGCGCCGTGGGGACGCCGGTGCAGCGGAGGCCGTAGATCTCCTCGAACTCAGCGGCCTCCGTCAAGGCGGTGCCGGTCATGGCGCAGAGCCGCGGGAAGAGCCGGAAGAGCGACTGGTAGGTGATCCTCAAAATCCAAGGATTCGTTCGGCGTGCATGAGATTATATAAGGGATTCAGGACACGGCAATGGTGTTGTACACCAAAGGTATGAAAGGTGTGCAACATGAGAAGGATGGTGTTGATATGTGATGTTGACACAGACTCTTAGTCTAAAGAATGGTCGAAGCGAACAAATGTTCACATATCTTCACTTCGTCAGCTGAGCATCTGTGCAGATACTTGAGACCGTACGCTCACAGAGATGTTCTCCTTGCACTCGATGGCCTATGTTGGCAGTTGGGCTCACATCTTGCTATGACTTCTAGAATTTCTAGGGTTGAGATTTGTGCCCCTTACTTGGCATCCCCTCAACGGATGAAATAAGCAGATCTAAAGTCAACCTTGTCCCGGTGAGTTCTCCGTTCCGCTTGACTTCCCGAAGCCTGGTGCATGCCGTCGGACCAGCGCCGGCCCTCCAAGACACGGCCAGTGAAGGTGTCCACGATGGAGACTTTTCCATCTCGGATGATGTATTCCTCGAGAACAAGCACTCTAACTGGCAAGGGACATGCAGCATGCACGTCCACTCTTCTGACTTAAGGGACCTGTGGCACATCAGCTGTTTCATCCAACCGACCCATACGGCCATACGCTCCTCACCCAGCTGGAAGAGCTCCTTGGCCTTGACCGCGTTCAAAACGTACAAGATCCATGCCTGGAGAGGGAGACATCATCCGACTTAGTACTACCACGTAGCTGTGGTGGTTGGAAACGCATCCTCAGGAGGGTGGACCCCTCTCAGGACGGATAAGACGTCCACCTGGCTATGCAGGCTTCCCCCCTCCCAAGCCTCCTCAGGCTCCCAAAGGTTCTCCACCTGCAACAGGTCCTGCAGCTGTGAGGAAAAACCCTGCCGTAGACACATTGCAGGAAAAAGCTGGTCAAACTCTTTGGTGTTAGGTAGTCTAGGCATGTCTGGAGCCGTCTTCCCTGACTGTAAGAAGGCTGGTTCAACACATGAAGTCCACCACACCAAAAGGCTGCGAATAACGAGGATGAACATCCCAAAAAGAGCTCACAGTCACGCGGCACCAAAACCTCTTTGAAAAAAAGAAGGCCCGGTCCTGAGCCACTTTCTCTCCCAGGTCTGTCATGACCACGTTCATGTTCTTCTCATCTACGGTGTAGTGAAGATCCTTCAAAGTGGGGACAGCAGCTTCGCCAAGGAGAAAAACCTTCAGTCTACATTCAACATAAGGATATGATTCAGGTTCCATCTAATGTGGTCTTCGTGTGCTGTGCACTCTCTATCCACCTCTGTTCCTCCGACCTACAAGTATGGGATCACGAGCTCCTTTCTATATACGGGAGGCACATGGAGACGCATTGGCCAGCTTGCACCCTGCTCCTTTCCGGATACCCATGCTCGTCCCCTACCGCCCTACCACTACCACTCCACCCCATGTGCCCTTGCGGTCCTTCTTCAGAGCATTGGCCACCTCGCGGCCCGCCTCGAACTGGCGCGGCACCGCAGGGACCGACTCGGAGATGATGAGCGGCGTGCGGGCCTCGTCGATCAAAATGGAGTCTGCCTCGTCCACCAAGCAGAAGTGGAAGCTCTTGCCTCAGGTTTTGGCGCAAAATAAAGGAAATTGCTTGTATAGTCTGTCACTAGTGACCTGTCTGTGTCTGTCTTTCATTGTCTTTGCGCTTGGTGCAAGTGTGTGTGTGTGTGTGTAGTGTGTTGGAACCATCAGTCCAAAGTATGTGAATGCCAAATCGGTCTAAGAACGTGAATCACAACTTACACCTCTTTGGAGCTTTCCTTATTGTTGATGTGTCTGAGGAGTGTATTATATAGAATAATATCAAGTGATGTCTCGTCTGTATGTATATATAGATATATAGGGAGGTATTTGGTTATATAATGCTATATATATATTTCTCTGTATACGTTTCTGTCTGTCTGTCTGTTCTGTTCTGGTCTGGTCTGGTCTGGTCCTGTCTGTCTGTCTCTCTTCTTCTCTCCCTGCATGACACCCCACGACTTGTGCAGCAGGTGACTCTGAACGACTTGATGTGGATAAACGGCCAAGTTGTCGCGGAGGTAATCGAAGCCCAGCTCGGCATTGGTCAAGTAGACCACGTCGCACTTGTAGGCTTTTTGCCTGTCGGCCACCTGTCCAAGTGTCAATGTTGTTCATGTTTCTTGATCGTTCTGCCAAAGTTTCATCAAGTGACACCCTATTCAATTCACCATTCTTCAAGGCAGACTCATCTGTGCTACTTTCAGCTGTAAATCAGCTCACGACTCACGCCAAAGCACTCAACTCCTTGAACCTCCTTGAGCCAGCAGACCCTGGACCCGGCCCAACCTCCAACAACCCTGACATCTCCAACTCGCACCTCCATGGTGGACTGCACCAGGCCCACGGTCAGCCCCAAGAAGCGCAGCACCTGCCCCACGTTCTCCGCGTCGCGGCGGGCCAGGTAGTCGTTGGGCGTGACCACGAAGACGCCACCCTTGTCCTCCAAGGCAGCCAGGAAGGTCGGCAAGAGCGCCACAATGGTCTTCCCCTCGCCTGGCGAAATGGTCAAAAGCACTGAGCTAGTCACACAGTCTGACCAGCAAAGAATCTACAAGAATCTCCAGAAATGGATAGAAACATTGGATGCAGGAAAAAGGTGAAAGGATGGGAAGGCCTTCCTGTACTCATTATGTACAATTGACGGCCATCCGGGCATAGGTGTAGCCACACCTCCACACCCCCCGCGAAGTCGCACCTGTCTTCATCTCAGCCAGGCGCTCCTTGTGGAGGACCAGGCCACCCAAGAGCTGCACATCGAAATACCACAGCTCCAAGACCCGCCACACAGCCTCATGTGGGCGACTGAGGCCTGATTTGACTTATATATATAATCCCTTATATACTGTAGCGCCCTTATGGCTCAAAGACATTCCGAGCAAGATCTATCTCATGTCCAAAATCCAATGCTGTGGGTCAACTGGCAAGCGTATCTAGGAAAGGATTTTGACACATTGCCACATGCCCTCCTGTGTCACTTTTGTCCCAGAACATGTTCCAAATACCAGCACCCGCCCGCCTCTCTAAGCACGGCGAAGGCTTCATTCACAGTCTTCTTCTCAAAGCCCTTGGCCTCTCAAAACAAAGGAAGGAAGGAAGGAAGGAAGGAAGGAAGGAAGCCATCGCCACCAGCAGAAGATCTTGTTGCCACGTTTGTCAGGGCTCCCACTCGTTCACAAGCATTGGAGTAGGGGCAAGGACAAGAGAACATTAAAAAAATGCAACTTCAGTCTGTCTCTGAAATATCCCGGCACCTGGATTCTCTTTCTGAGTTCGTCCGTTTTGGCCCGCAACTGGTCATTGCCCATCCTCAGCGACATGATGGGGGATGATGTTCTTGCCTGCATAATGCACAGGTCATGAATTGTAGGAACGTGTACGGAGTACGGACATCTTTCTGTGAAAACCTTTTGTCCAATGGGCATGACCAGGCTTTCTTGTCGCATTCTGTACGGTGTTGACATGAGGCCGCCAACCAAGGCACTCAACCGGTGCTTCGGTCCATCTTCATCCAACAAGACTGTCTCTCAGCCTTTCTCACCCTTCCACCATGTCACTTCTCGAACTCCTCCTCGAGCTCATTAATCGCTTCGACCTAATAGCCGGCATGCATCGGTCACAACCGGCCCTCGAGGAAACACAACCGGTTACGGGCTGTGCTGTTTTTGCTGCAGGCTCTTCTGTCACATGGCACCTTCTGTCCTACTACTGCGGCAATGCAATGTGGGTTGAACGACCACATGTAAATGTCGTGCCTGCTCGGCCAGAGTCGCAATGAGCTCTTCCTAGGTTGGTCTAGGGAACGGCAAACGAAACAAGAGCTTCGGATTGCCTGGTGAACTACTGTGGGAAATTCCGGAACCTTACCCTCGATCCAGGCAAGTCGCGTTTTCCTTTTCCAGGTCGCCCTTAACTTCCTGCTTGGGCTTCTCGATCACATCGGTCGCCTGCAAGACTTCATCCCTCTCCTTGTTCTGCCCTTTTGGCTTGCTGCCAGAAGCTCTTAGCTGCACGGACTGTGACTGTTCTCGTTTTCAGCGAACCCCGCGCACCTTCAAGGCTATCAAAGAGCGTCCTGGACGGCGAGAAAGGCCTCCCAAGCAAGCAAGAGTATGACACTTTGTCACGCTTGCAGGCATCGCTTCCCTTCCCCAAACTCCTCCGGAACACGTTTGCCCCTCCAATGCGCTGGCCCGTGTACTGCAGCAACCCCCAAAGGAAGCAAAATTGGAAAAAAACATCTCCAGGTCTCCAACCTGCCGAAAGATCGACGCTCGGATCTTTCGGCCGGCCTCCTTTCCGTCGGCCTGGCACCGCCGCGAACGCGGCGGCCGCGCCGACCACGCCGGCAGCGGCGGCGCCTCGAACGTCGCCATCGGTGAAGGCGCTGTCTGGTGGCGTGGGGGTTGGAAGCTGCAACTCTGCATGGGAAAGGGAAAAGATGGGAAAAGCTTGGTCAAAACCAGCTATATAACGCGGCTAACCCCACGAGATGTTGCAAAGTCTGTCTTTTCATATTGGTGACTCAGTTCAAGGCGAGAACTGCCGTAGGCAGACAGCTCTGATTGGCCTTCAGCCAGGCAACTTGATTCTTTCTGCGTGCCTGTGACATAAGCCTTCATCGGCACTACAGTATGTAGGTGAATCAGAATTCTGAAGGATGCTTGGCCTGCACCAGCTTGTCGGGCTGTAGGAGCACTAACCTGTCCATTGACACGAAATACCCTTCACCAGTATACCAGCGCACATTTCGTGATTTTCTAAGAGCACATCAACACAGCCCAGAAATCTGATCTCTGCTTCTACATGCCAAGATCCTATTATGTAAATACAAAAGCGTTTGGTCTTACGACCCACCACCGTGGCCTGAGTCGAGCTCACTGTTGGCACCTTAGATGTTGACAAAGCTACAACAGTTATCCACTGATTTCTTGCTCCCTTGCTCTTGCCAAAGTGCCCAAGCTGTGTTGAGCGCCATTGGGCCTGGTCTGTCCGCAAGGTTTGCCAACTTGAAACGAGCTCAAACATCGACCAGCTAAGTCTGCGTCTCCAAAACCGGCTTCGAGCTGAGACTGTGGCAGTGCAAAATGTGGTGCCAAAATCAGAGCCAGTGTTGAAAACTGGGGCTAAAAAGCAGCGAAAAGGGGTGAACAAAACCATGAGGCTCCACGATCTCAGGGACTTGGAACAACCTCCGCAGCAGCCTTGCCATCCAGGCATCTGCCCTCCAAAGAACTTAACACTAACCTCCAAGGCAGTGAGCTTCATTGTCTAGGTGGACTCACTACTGTGGGGTGCGGACGACTGGTAAATGTCATGGTTTCTTGTAGGCCATCTGAGATATCTGCCTCTTCGCTGCCGAAGGCAACTGGGCAACTGCGTGCTGGTGACGCAGCGAAACATCTCACACCCCTGAAATGAACACATGACTTGTCATGTGACACATCACTAGGTCTTCAACCAGTCTGAGTCATGAGATTCTCACAAAAAGGCTTGAGAAGTCTGCTAAAGGTGTAAATCATTCTTCGTCCCAAAACTAATAGACACTCAGGCTTGGCGGTTCTACGCTGGCATGCCATTCGGCAGGCACCAGTAGACCATCTCCCAGAATCCTAGAATCTGTGGGCCTTGTCAACGGATGTTAAAGGAAGATATAAACGATGAACAGGCTGACAAATGGGCAACTTTCCTTGCATCCGATCAGGCAGCACTGCCCGTGAGGACATTATGTCACTAAACTCAGCTTGAATCGGATTGCTGCAGTTTATGATGTAGCCTGGACCTTCAGCCTTCAGTCGAGTTGAGTCTGTCAAATCCTAAAATGCTGTGCAAGCCTAGTGAATCTTGCTTAGCAAGGTGCCTGCAGCATTTGACATTACCATTTCATCGAAGAGCTCCCTTGAGCGTGGCAATGGATCAGCGGGGACCAGTGTAATTGGAGACCATTCATTCGTCACAGGGATTGAGAAGTGTTTACATCTCCGGAATGTCATCTCTTCCTGAGCTGTTCGTGGAAGCATGTCATGCTTGGAAGCTCGCAAGACCTCTTCCCTGGTGGCAATCCAAAGAGATGCGGAAGCCTTTCTGGCAGTCCATGCAGCAGTGCAAGGTGGGGCACAACCAGATCCTGCCCAGGACCCCAGCACCACCATTGGTGAAGACCACAGTGCACGAGTCTGAGAGATGGATGGTGCTCCCATGGCCAGATTTTCGAGCAAGTTTTGCTCTAAAACTTGCCCATTCTGCGTTGAATCTGAGGATCCACTTCCGTTGTAGCTCGCCACAGGGTCCTCCAAAGCGGCCTCACACACTCGCACCCTGACATATCCATGATCCAAGGGCGGAGCCCGCAGCGTCCGCAGCTCAAAGGCCAGGGTTCCATCATGACCCGCTTGAAGCCCATGCTTCGGATCCGCAGGGCCAATGAAGGCCAGGTCGATATCCAAGCAACAAGGGCCCCTGTAGGCACCTGGCAGGTCCTGAAACTCCCCTGCCGCTCCAGTGGGAATCGCCACTGGCCGCTGCCCCTGGCCAGGCGGCCTTGGGCGCATCTTCTGGCCTGGAGGCTTCGGAGGTGGTGGAGGCGGACGTTCGGCCATCAGTTTGGCAAAGGACTCGGGAAATGCATTCATCAAGTCACACTCCAAGGCATACAAGTCCTCCTGTCGCTTCTCTTTGGCCATGTTCTTGGCCTCCAACTCTGCAAGGCGTTCCAACCCAAAGCTTTCTCTGAGCCCTTCCACGTACTGATCCAGGCTCTTCTGGAAGGTTTCAAACGCCATAGTGCCAATGGGACTTTGCCGATTCCGCTGGTAGAGCGGCAGTCGATGCGCACGGAACCGGGGACCCAGAGTTGACAGCGGAGGGCAAATGGCCTCCCCAAGCAGCACCACCTTCTTCTGGTCGAAGACGTCTTGGCCGCCGAGGTCATGGGGCCACCAGAAGACCTCTCCAAACGAGTCGAGCGGAAATAGACTCCGTACAACACCCACCACAAAACGCAAACCAACCTCATTCTCAAGAAATTGAGGACGTCACGCACACACCCCGATTTTGTTTGTCAAGCTCGTTCCCCCATGTCCCTCCACCCACTCCACTCCTGCAAGACCACCGTGGCCCAGGCGTCCTTCTTCCATTGGTTCTTCGGCTCGGCCACCGGGAGGAACTCCCCGAGCTTCCGCTCCGGCGGCCGCGGTATCCCTGAGAGCGCGGTCTCCAGCCGCGGTCTCTGCTCGGTCAGCGCCCGCGCCAGTCCGGTGGCCATGGCGGAGGTGGGGCGGGCAGCAGGGGCTTTAGGGCAAAGTTTGGTTGGGTGCGAACAAGTCAACAAGGCAATCAATCATGTTGCAAAGTTTCTTTCCTGGGGCATGCTTGCAAGACAAGAAGATCAAGAAGGGTTTCTTGACCTACTGTTGGCAAATTAGATTCTAAAGAGCTTCTAGATCTCCCATGTATCGTACAATGTCTGAGTCCACATCGGCCCCGTGTTTCTGCGCAAGATGAACGTTCGGCCTGCACGGAACCATCTTGTTTGTCTTTAAATTACGCTCAAAAAGCTGCAGAGGAGTGCGCACTCTCACATGAAACCTTGAAGCGCCGGGTATTGCCTTGAAGTGTGCGACTGGGACTCAAGAAAGACATCTACCTACATGTCCGACACCCGAAATCTTTCACATCACAAATCTTGCCCTTGATCTTCCAAGCAGGCAGACTAGATATACTCGTCCATCATGGCATGGCTTTCTGCACAATGCCCCCAATGTACCATAAATAATCACTCACCCTCCCGGACCCTCCCCTATACATAACCAGATCGCCAACCTTTCTGCATGGCTTGCTTGCGGCCTCTTCTTGCCTCCTTCCTACTTCCTACAGATGTGTGGCACGGCGAGGAAGTCCACCAGCTGCGGGTCGCTCGAGGCTGAAGCAAACGGGAACCGATTGCCTGCGGCTCAGTACCTCAACCTCTACAGCCTTTGCCGGCATCCCTTCTGCCAAATCATTGTCTCCGTCCTCCAAGCTTCGATTCCAAAGTCAACGTACAGTACATAACTTATCCAGGATTGTCAAATATAATCCGTTGATGATGTCCGAGTTTACTTTGAGGAGTCACGTTCAACCGTGACCATGTGATAGATCTTCTCAGTTGCTTGATTGCAAATCCCAAGCCCGGCCAGTCCTTTGCAGGCTCTGTTAGCTTGTCCCACAATCTGCATGCCAAGCTCTCCGGGCTGTCGGGCTGCACGGCCTGCCCAGCAGCTAGCAGCAAAGGTGCCAGCAGTCCCAAACGGCTCAGCCAAGCCATCTGAAAGCTGAAGCCGACGGCCGAGATGGAAAGGCCTCAGATCGAATCGCTCAGATCAAAACAAGGGCCGCGTTGACCTACGATGACCAACCCACATTAACCCACATTTCAGATCCTTTCTCATTCTGCCAAAGAGCCTAGGAAGCAACAGAACTGAAGGTCGTTCACCTTCCACGAAGAGATGAGTGGATCAGAAACAATTCAACTCAGGCTTTGCCTATGCACGTTAAATAGCAAATCTGCAGGCCTGTGGCTGCGCGTATGGATGCACCATCCACACTGTCCCAGCCATTGTGAGGGTAATGGCAAGAACCTTTGCCAAAGAGAAGTCCAAAAAGAAGTACAAGTCCTGAGGCGCAAACACTATGGATTCTGCAGCCGGGCCAACTCACAAACCAAAATCACAAACTCGAAACGTCCCAAACCTTCCAATAGCAGATCCGGACAATTCTCGGCCTACACACCAGGGCCAAGGTTCCTCATCGCTGCTGTTGGCTGCTTGGGCCACTTGGGCTGTCGAGACCACCTGATCGCTCTGGCTCTGGTTGCACTTCACCAAAGACCAGCCAGAAGCTAATTACTAGGAACAAAGGGCATCGCTACTAGGAGCAAGGGCATCGCTACTAGGAGCAAGGACGCTACTAGGGGCTCCTGGCCTAACTATACACTAGGAGCAAGAAGCAAAAGCAATGTCGCAGGCCCCCAAGCAACATCGTCAATGTGTGAATCGCGTGCTCACTTAAGCTCGACACTTACCTGGCCGAGGCACCCTGACCAAGGCTACTGCCACCAATTTCAACACCACCTCCATCCATAAGTCCCGAAAGGTGGCCTCAAGAATGGTTTGATGCTGTCAATGGATGGAGCAGGCGGATGGATTCGTGTTGTCAGACGAACCCTTGTGCCTGTCCTTTCCCATGCTTGAATTCATCATCAGCTGCTGGCAGGACTGGAAAGCACACGCAGCACAGGGGCTGTTGTTGGGTGCACCATGCTCCATAGTTGTTGCATAATTGTGCCCAGCCAAGCTGCATATTTGAACAGCGTCTCTTTGGCACCCTGCAGAATTCCTGGGCCAAGCTTCATGCTGTCCCAAGTTCTGACGGCTGGGTGGCACATCATAGTTGCTAATGTTGCCCCCTGTCCCAATGGTGAACACCACACACCCAGTATCCCCAATTTGAGAACTGCCGAGGTACGATCATTCCGGCCCACCTCTTCAAGGATGGAATGCTCGAGCAGCATCTCGGTGATCATGTGGTGCCGGACCTTCTCGGACTCCTTCTTGAAATGGGCACTTACGGCATCCACCTCAGCTTCCGGGTCCTGCTGTGCAAATGCTGCGCACATGCAATCCTCATTGTGCACACTCAGACTGTCATTCGGGACATGGTCACACACAAACGCAAAGAGCAGCTTTAAAACCTGACAGGCACCTCGAGCTCAAAAGTTGTGCGGTCGGGCTTCTCCACACAGGTCACAATCCTTGGAGGAGCCCAACAATTGGTGCATCACAATGACATCGGTGAACGTCTGCCAAGTTTCCCCTTGCCATCGCGCAGTTGAACTTTCACTGATCCTTCCTGCAGCATGGCAACGTAGGCCACTGCTGCAGCCACCACCCGGCGCTCCTGCATCTTGTCCTCCATGGACGTTGGAAGGAAGAACATCGATACTCACACTAAGACCGGCAACGGCCCAAAGCAAACGGAACATCAGAAAAAACGATGTTCCGAATAGAAAGGTATAGTATGGCCATGGCAAGCATGGGCTGGCATTGAAAAGGCAAGTACACACACTAGTCACTAGTCAACATCAAACCTCGTTGTCTGCAATTAGGGTGCGCGCAAACTCTTTTGGGATCACTCTCTCTCTCTCTCTCATCGCCGTCCTGCACACCTACCGCTAATGTTTCCTCTTGATGGCCCTCATGGAGCTCCAAGGGAACCCGGCTGTAGCGCAAAACCACGTGCTGCCGTGCATAAAGGGTAAAAAGGAAGGAGGGGATCAGAATGCCGTAGCAGATTGCACATGGCCAAAACACTGAGGACACCTCAAACGTCATGAAACTTGAGAGGGTGAACGAAGCGCGAAGTATGCATTACTCAGCCATTGTGTGATTGACCTACAACTGACAAAGGTATTTGAATACCAGTGGGAGTTCCAGTCCAGTTCTTTGTCTTCGAAAGTCACACTTTGCACAACATCTGTCTGAATCCAAGGCCCTGGCCAATTTCTGTTCCGGCGACGACTCACTCCATGGAAGATTTTGGTCGCACCAAATGTCGGGCAACTGTCGCAGGAAGGCAAACTGTTCTAGTTTAACACCTCCTGCAAGCCAAATGCAGTTGCTTTTCTGATAGCACACTTGAATAAGCAAGAGTAACGCATGGTATGATGTGCAATGATGCAAGGTATTACATTTGTCATGAGGGGGTATCGATGGGGCACCGACACGCCAATATCTCATGCGACCTAGATATCACTGTATCGGTTGTCGCTAGTTTTGGCGGTCGCTCATATGTTGTTATGCCTTTAGTCAATCTCAATCTATTGTCCGTCTCTTCCCAATCAAAATCCCATTATTCATCAGATCTATCGTTTATGAACATGTTATCTCAGCTGCCTTGGCTGACACACCTATATACTGTATCTCATCTGTGCTAAGTACCTTGGCGGCTTGGCAAACTTCTCCTGCGTATGTACATATTCCCAAGTTTGAGTGCAGTGGATTGCTTTTGAGCAAGGTCTTGTTGGACGATGAAGGGGAGAAAACCTTGGAGGACAAAAAACCTGAGTCAGGAAGTCAGGCTCGTCTGAAAGCCATAAGAAATACATGCGGCTCATGACCTCCTGTCCTGCATCAAAGAGCTGGCAACTTCGCAAGGCAGAGCACTTTGAAGCCCCTCCGATGAAGAAAACTGTGAGAACTTTTAGCGCTGCGTTGACTCCTGGCACTGCAAATGTCAATAGGTTCAATAGTCTTATGACATCATATGACGCTAGCTACCTTCAACACGGACAACATTCAATAGAGCCCCTGCTAGTCTCCTGAGCCAGGGCTGAAGTACTCCATGCCCAAACAACACAGCAGCAGAATCAACGGCAGCACAGGGGTGATAAGAGCCAAAGCAACTCTCACTGCACGACCTCCAAGGTAGCATTGCAAGTACAAGAGCTCTCTCAAGTTTCCTATGGCAAATTGGACAGTCTGGAGATAGGGCAGCTCCCAAAACCTCTGGCTTGAAGCATTCGGGTCTTCTTTCTCTCCATTGCTTGAGAGCACTGCCAGGACAACCCAAAGTTGACCCATCTGAAGCAAAATCGGCACCTGGTTTCTTAGCAACTTCTCCTGCAACGTGCCCAGGATACCTTTTGCAAAAACAACCTGCCGATAGGGGCCCAGCAAATCTTCCACCCATTTGCCCGGATGCCAGGAATAGACGAAATACGCGGTTGCCACCACACCAGCGACTGACAGGGCCATGAGTGTCACCACAAGACCGGCTGTGAAAAGCCATGGTGGCAAACGCCCACCAGAACATTCAAAGCATGAGCTTCCAGCTGCGAAGTGTGTCTCACTGCAACCCATGCATAGCGGGCCCTCATAGCCTTGGTCTCAGCAAACATCAAAGGTTCCTTCCCTGAGAAAAAATTGCTCAAACCAATGTACCAGCATGTCTCACACTTGGAGTGATGACTCATCCGAGGTACCTGGCGCACAGCCTAGGCCCGAGACGTTCGCACCAGGACAACGATCTCTGGAGAGGCACTTGTATGCCTTTGTGCCGTTCAGTTTTAAGCGAGCAAAACCCTGAAGCGGCTCTGCTGACTCTGCAGCGGTCAAGTGGCTGGAACAATTCAAATGCAGGTCCTCATTCGGGAAGAAAGACACAACATGCAAAACCGTTAGAACATGTTAAAAGTTAAAACCACAAACACCGGTTCCGGGGTTGGAAAATAACATTGGCAGTTTGATGTTTTTCGGATGTTTTTTGGACAAGGTCTTTTTGGACAAGAATCTTGACATGGTAGGCAGGAATCGTTGTCGCGTGCTTTTCCCTTGGGACAGCCGCAAATCCATTCACCATCCACTTCGTGCAGGGCTCCGGCCTTGCACTGACAATCGTGAACGGATTTTTTGCGTCTGCCGCTTGTAGTGTTGGCAGGACATTGAGCGCAGGTCAGCGCGCTCTCGTTTGGATTGAATGTGTTCTCATCACACTCCTCACAATTGATCCCACTGCCATGCCAACCTGCCAGGCAAGTGCACCATTCGGGGAAAAAGTGCGACACGGTAACCACAAGGTGTGTGCTGCTCCGGTCGAGGTCATAGCAACGATAGCCCATGTCGGCATGAAAAGCTATTCTTTCGGATGTCTGGTTCACGGCCCCTTCTTCAATCATTCCTTTCAACTCCTTCACCAAGTCTGCGGTTGGCGTGCTGCCACGCAAGTCAATCAGAGCTCCTCTCTTGCATGCTTTCATCACCGCACTATTGGCGACATGTAGTGGCTGTTGATTTGAAGAAAGCTCAAGTGTGTGTGTGGCTGCCGGGATTGCTGCGATGTAACTCAGGTTGTTTCTCGACAGGTCCAAGACTTCTAGTGAAGTTTCCAAGGGGCTACGGATGTTCAGACTTATCACACCATCACACTCAATGGGTGGCAACGGGTCGAACGTAGGCAGCTCACCAGTGAGCCCGGACCCCGCCGCCAAAACGCTGCCCAAGTTCCGACATAAACTCAGTGGGAGGAATAGATCTTCCGCTGGCCCGTTCAATGGACAATCAGAGACCTGAAAAGCACCCGTCAAATGACATTAAAATGTCTGAAATGTTGCGATAGCAAGACAATGCAAAACGCTAGAGTTCCAGAACTCCTAAGTTCCATGGTTCAAGGGCATTAGCGCCAGTAGCGCCCTTTCTCACAAACATTCACAAACCATATATGTCCATATATCATACGTCCACATCTCTAGTCTTTCTTCCTTCTATCTGATACATAATGTGTTCCTATTTAGATTTGCCATTTGCCCACGGAGGCGGTCTGCACAAATCTTTTGCGATTCGCATGTGTCGCTTATCAAAAGCTGTTCTTTTGGAGTGCCTCCAGGGTGGTGAGCGCTGGTAATAGAACTTGATCTTCGTCCTTCAATCGCTTCAAGTTGGCACGATCATCACCATTAGGAAGAAACTGCACCTGACTGCCCTCAGAACAAGACGCGCGCACAAAGACTGAAGCAGCTTGTTCCAATCAACCAAAAACTTGAGGCCAGAGGGGGTGAACGAAAGCTAGCCGGGCCTCCTCGTCCAAACAAATCGGGGGCGGGCTGCACAGTCACTCTCATTGGGTAACTGCCGGTCCACTTGCAAGTCCCGTGGGAAACTCTAGAGAAGCAGTGTTAGTATGTGCTTTGTGGTGCGTCGAGTCTCATTCAGTAAGCAACTGCCACCTGACAGGAGCAGGTTTTGTTTGGTGCCCCCTTTCCATCACTTCTTTGGCTTGGTTTTTCCAGCGGTTGCTGTGCCGCAGCAGCAGCAGACCACCCAGCGGCAGCAGCAGCAGCAGCATACCATTATAAAAAACTTTCATATGGTAAGGCCAGAATCCTTGATTTAAAAAAAAGTCAAAAAAAA